GGAGGCAGCCCCCAGGAGTCCTTGCCTCAGCCTGAGGCCCAGCCATCTTGTAGGGGAGCATTGGGCACAGTGGGAAAGAGCAGCCAGCACCTGCCACAAGGCTCTTCCACTTGCAAGGCACTGACAGCCACAACACCAAGACCATGGAGGTGCCAGCCCGTGCCTCATCCCTCAGTTCCAGTGATGTCTTCTTGCTGGTCACAGCTGGTATCTGCTACCTCTGGTTTGGGAAGGTACTGGCAGCACTAGCCACTCTACTCACACCCAGGGGGGGTGGTGCCATGCTGGGGAGGTGTCCCTCCACAGGGCATGCAGACTGCAAGTCCAGCCTCAGGCCAATGGGGGGTGGAGGAGAGGGAGACAGGCCACAGTGTCCCTTCCAGAACCTGGGGGAAGTTAGAAAGTGACAGGTGGACCTGGGACTCCATGGATCAGAGCCGAGCCAGGCCAGGCCCAGGCTGCCTCCCCTCCTTCCTGCCCTGAGCATAGAGCATGTCCCTTCTCTTGGGAAAAGGGGGAGGCCTAGTCCAGTTTGCTGGAGTTTTTTCCTAATATTCAGCATAAACCATGAATAACCTCCTAAGCCTGGGGGTACCCATCCTATGCTCTGGACCCAAGGAGAATCCCAGAACCTATGACCCTGGTCAGCTGGGGAGACTGACGCCCAGAGGGGAAGAAAGGGAGATCCCTTGCTCATGCATGCCTAGCCATCGTTTTAGGTCTCCTGTGTCTCAGGCCCAGTTCTCCAGAGTGGAACTTGGCACTGGATGTGAAGACCCTGTCCCCTGCAGGGCCTGACCCAGTTCTTTGCTTGTCAGGGCTGTAACGGTGACCAGCGTGAGATGGCACGGATGGTGGTCCCTGTCATCTCCAGAAAGAACAAGGAAACAGTGCTAGAGGGTCAGGAGCCTCCCCACTTCTGGGAGGCTCTGGGAGGTCGGGCCCCCTACCCCAGCAACAAGAGGTAACAGGGCTGGGAGGAGATTGTCCTTACACAGAGGAAGAACTGAGGCCCAGAGAGGGTGGGTGACTAATGAAGGGTCACAAAGAGAGCTGGAGAGGCAGGACTAGAACTGAGAACTCTTGGCTCCCCACCCCCAGGGGCTCCCAGGAGCACAGCCCACCCTTCACTCCCTAGCCCTGGGTAACTAGGGTCAGGAAGATGCCAGAGAGAGCAGGGGCAGTGGCCCCATCTGCTGGCAGAATTCACTCCCTGCACTGTCCAGGTCCTGGGCAAGCAGGCAAGGCTCTGTTCCCAACCCCGTAGTCCCCAGGAGTCGTGGTGCCCAGTGTGCATGTGTACAGTGTAACATGACATATGGGTGTACAGCATGAGTGCATAGAAAGTGCAAGAATAGGTGTATTGTGTGTGTGTGTGTGTGTGTGTAAGGGTGTGTGTAGGTAGGGCAGAGTGATGCCTCAAAGGGAGGAGGGAGCAAAGTCCCAGGCCACTCTTGGTGTGTCTGTGGGGCCTGGCTTATGCAGTGCACTCCTCTGAGTCTCCTGAGCTGTCCCCCTCTCCCAGCCTAGCTGCTCTCCTCCCACCTTGCACCTGAGGCAGGCTGTGTGCCAGGGATGGGCCCAGGGGCTCTCCCATCCAGGGAGGGCAGGGCTGTGCTCAGGCCCTCCCCACTGAGCTGTTGTCCCTTTCCCAGTGACTGCTCCTGGGAAATTCATGGGGCAGCTTGTGTCACAGCTGGCTGGGGTTAATCTGCTTTCTGCATTGACAGAGGGGACCCTGACGCCCAGAGAGGAGCAGGGTGCTCCTGCAGTGGATGACAGGGTGGGTGGAGCTCAGAGGAGGGTCCAGGCCTCCTAGCCCTGAGGAGTTGGGGTGGGGCACCATGCCGAGGGCCAGCATGGCCAGGCTGCTGAGGCACAGTGTCCTCTGTGCTTATGGCCTTGCTGCCCACACTGGCCAGGCTCCCTGAGGAGGTCCCCAGCTTCCAGCCGCGACTTTTTGAGTGCTCCAGCCACATGGGCTGCCTGGTGCTCACAGAAGTGGTGTTCTTTGGCCAAGAGGACCTGGACAAGTATGACATCATGTTACTGGACGCCCAGCAGGAGGTAGGGTGGCCACCCCTGCATGGGTGGGGTGTGAATGGAGGTGTGTCTGTTTGTATACCTGGGTGTGAGTGTGTGCATCTAGCCATCTGACTTTGCACGTAAGGCGGTGGGTGAGTCTGTGTGACTTTGTGTGACATTGTGATGGGTTGTGCAATTGTGGGGATGTGGATGTGAGACCATGGACAGTAGAGAGATTGCAGGAGATTATGAGTGTGTTTTGGGATTCATGTGTGATTGTGACTGTATGTGTAGTTGTGTGCAACTCTCTGTGCCTTATGATGGTGTGTGTGACTCCAGGTGACCGAGTGTGGCTGAACATGTTGTCAGCATCAAATGAGTGACTAAGTGGAATGACTGACCAGGTACATATGTGTGATGATTCTATAGGACTGTGTAGGGGCCTTTGTGTATGTGGCTCTGTGTGTGTCTGAGACTGAGCATGTCGCCCACATGTGAGAGATAAAGATTCTCTCTCCCTCTCTTTCTCTCAATCTCTCTCTTAGTGACCAGCTGTGGGTATGAGTGACTGAGTGACTATATTTGTGTTTTTGAGTAACGATGTTTCTTTGTAACTCGCTGGGTGTGCACAACTATGTAACCAAGTGTGGTTGTGTTTAAGCACAATCAGGTGTCTGACCACGGTGGACAATAGCGTGTGGCTGTGATTTGCTGTCTGGCCATGTGGTGACAGATGATTGTGTCTCTGTTGCTGTGATAATGTGTGTCTGCATCACAGTGCGTGGGGCTGTGACCGTGGCACTGTGTGAGTTGGTGAAGAAGCTGTGGGCTTCCGTCTCACTCGGAGAGAGATCAGAACCCTTATACAGCCTGTGTGACCTAACCAGCCCCAACTCTTGGACCCGCTTGCCTCCCACTCTCCCCGTCTTGTTCTGCGCCAGCTACAGTGGCCTCCTCGCTGTTCCCTGAATGTGCCAGGCACACCGCCAGCTCAGGGCCTTCACACTGGTTGTTTCTTCTGGTTAGAAACTTTCCCTCCAGACATACCTGTTACTTGCTCCCTTTTGAAAGCTCTACAGGGCAGAGATTTTTGCCTACTTTTTTTTATGGTTGAATCCCCAATGCCTAGAGGAGTGACTGGCACACAACAGGTGCCCAGTAAATAGTCGTGGATTGAATCCTTGTGTGTTCATGGGTGTGTGGCTTGCTGGGGTGTCAGGTTGGCTGGGGATGTGTGGCTGGGGACAGTGAGTGGGGAGGAGGTGGTCAGCTCCGGGCAGCTCCTCCCCCTGCCCAAGGCCAGGCCCCCTCTGTGGCCCAGATCTTCCTGTGGCTCGGGGAAGCTGCAAGTAAGTGGAAGAAGGAGGTGGTGGCATGGGGCCAGGAGTACCTGAAGACCCATCCAGCAGGGAGGAGCCCGGCCACACCCATCGTGCTCATCAAGCAGGGCCATGAGCCTCCCACCTTCACTGGATGGTTCTTCACTTGGGACCCCTACAAGTGGACTGTGAGTGAGGCTGGAAACCCCCAGCCCCATCCTAATTCAGGGGGTGAGGGATCTGCCCTGGCTCGGGATCTCTAGCATGCGAGGGAGGCCTGGTCTTGTCCTCAGGCCCTCTCCTGGCTCCCATTGGTGCCCCCTAGTCCTACCCCAGCCCTGATACTTGCCCTGTTTTTTGCCTCCAGAACAGCCAGTCCTATGAGGAGGTGGCAGAGGGCAGCCTGGGAGCAGTGCCTGCCATCTCTGAGATAACAGCAGTGAGTACTGGGGCTCCTGGGCTTCCCCACAGTGGCCTGAGCTCAGACGGCTTGGTCCAGAATGAGCAGCGGAAGGGCTGGGCCCTGGTAGGTGGGGGAGGAGGGGGTTGCAGCTGGGGGCAAAAGGCCAGGGGCGTTCAGTGTGGCCTCCCTGTGGGCTGTCTATTCCCCATCTTCCCCAGTCTGAGGCCCCTCTTTGGACAGGAACTCAACAACTTCCAGCTATCCAGATGGCCAGGTGCTGGCAGGGCAGGTCCCTCGGCCCTGCAGGCCCTCAAAGGCTCCCAAGACAGCTCAGAGAATAAACTGGAGGTGGGCTCCAAGGCGGGTGGCAGTAGCCCCAGACCCAGCAGCTACGTCAGCAGCACCAGCTCCGTGATCAATGGGAGTCTGCCCCGCGAACAGCTGATGCACCAGGCAGCTGAGGACCTGCCAGAGGGCGTGGACCCCACCCGCAAGGAGGTGAGTGCCCGAGACCCCCTGCCACTTGCTGCCCCAGCACCAGTGCATCTCACACTGAGCTGGAGGAGCCCAAGGCAGGACCCGCTGGTGGTGGGCAACACGCAGGAGCCTTGGGAGATGCATGTTCTAGGTGGGATGGTGGGCAAATGGGCAGACAGATGGGGAAAGGCCCTGAGCCCGATGACAGCTCTGGGTGGGAAGGACTCTGGCTCAGATGACACCCCTACTCTAACACCCACTCCCTTGTCATTCCCCAGTTCTATCTCTCAGACTCTGACTTCCAAGATATCTTTGGGAAATCCAAGGATGAATTCTACAGCATGGCCACATGGAGGCAGCAGCAGGAGAAAAAGCAGCTGGGCTTCTTCTGAACCCAGGCCCCTCCCCGCCAGCACCACCCCACACATACCTGAGTCCCTGGGGAGAGCCTGCTCACACCCCCTGGGAGGCTCCTGGTCACCCCACCCCCTTATCAATAAAAGCTGGTGGCCCACGCAAGTGTGGCGCGTGTGCTTCAGCCTGGCTCACTGCATGGGTCCCCCTCATGGGCAGGGGAGGGCCGCTGGAGATGGAGGGGGTGGTCGGTGACACTCCAGAGAAGGACTCAGCTGTCTGTAATCTACTCCACGGAGGCTCTGTCTCTTGCTGGTCTCTCCAGATGCCCCCTCCGGTGTGAGTGTGGGGAAGGTGGGGAGTCGGGTGCCGGGGCCTCGGGGCTCTGGGACACGCTCACATACGTGCTTCACGAGATTTTCTGCCGTCCAGGTAAAGAGGCCATAGCGTTTAATTTTACAGTGAGTTTTATAAAAACCCTCAATCTAGGGCTGGCCAGAGGGCCGAGAGGGCTGCAGTGTTGTTCCTAACGGAATCACGGACAGCTCCAGGGGCTGGGCCAGCTCCTGAGATCCTGGGGAGGCAGCAGCAGCAGCACAGTGTGTTAGAACCAAAGGCAGTTCCAGGGCCACTGGCTGTGAGTGAGAGGTCAGCAGCAGCCACATCTGCCCTGCCCCCAGGTGTGGACACTCAGGCCAGACACCACGGGACTCCCACACTTAGTCCTGGAGGGAAATCTTCACAAAGAGGGTGGCTGACGGATGCTGGTCTCCGTTCTTGGACAAGAGGTGGACGTGGCGGTAGCCTGGCAGGCACATGGCAAGGAGCCCACAAGAGAGTTCAGTCACTCAGGGAGGATGCTGCAAGGCCAGCCCAAGCAATGCCAGGCCCTGCCCCACTCCCCTGGCCTTCTTCCCAACAAACACTCACCCTGCTTGAGGCTGTTCAGGGGAATGGTGCTCTGACCGATGAAGTCGTTCTTGGAGGAGGCATCGTAATCCTCCACCACAAAGCGAACCAGGGCAAGATCGGGCACAGCCACCTCAAACTCAAATGCCGTGTCCCACCATGGGTTGAAACCTAGGGGCACAGGCACCATGTCGCCAGCACAGACACTAGTTCCAGTGGCCAGGCTCAGCCCAGGCCCAGAACATACCATTATTAGTGATCACTGCAGTCTGGCGGCTGGCCATGTCCCGACTCACGCCGTGGATCTCCACCGTCACCTTGGGGTCCACAATTGAATTCTTATTCTTGTTGACTTTTGGCAGCTGCTGCCCTGAGATGACCTGAGGAAAGACAGGGAACAACGAAAGGGTCAGGAATGGCAGTGAGAAGGAAGAGAGGCCCATGGCACCTGTGCCCCTGTTGGGCCATACCCTAATGTTGAGTCGCTTCTGAGCCCACCAGGGCCCTGGAGCCAGGGCACGTGAGTTGAAGGCAGAGTTGGGGTCTCTCAGGAAGGCAGGCTTCAGCACGTACCCGCAGGACCCATTGTCCTGGAAGCGGCCCTGATAAACGTCCATCTCTGTCCCAGGGGTCTGGAAATTCAGGGCCACTGGAGGTAGGACAGAGCAGTCACAGGCTGTGGGCTGGCCTTGGCACCCCAGAGCCCAGCCTGCTCAGGGTACACTGAGGCCTACTGTCACAGCATGAGTTAGAAGCAAGGTCCAACATCAATCCAGTGCCTGCTCCCCTGCCACCTAAATGACCCACCACCCTAACCACACATTCCATTTCTGACGCCAGAATTCAAAGAGCTAATGGTGGGATTTGGGATTTCAGACACTGTGACTTGCTTGTGGGGAGATATTTCCAAACTGAAATTACTAGCTCCACAAGCTGACCCTGCTTGGGTCCCCAGACCTCCCAATGGAGCCTCGAGGCTCCAGGCTCATGGTCCTCAGGACAGAAACCCTCGCCCAGGCCTCCTCCAGCTCCAGACAGCCCCTACCGATCTGGCAGCCCCCATTCCACATCTCCACGGGGTTGTAGTTGGAGGAGTCCGTTCTCCATCCGGCTGGGTAGATCCTGCTCAGGTGCCCCACATTGTGGCGGACCAAGCTGTTTCCTGGGGGAGTGGTGATTTGCTTAGAAGTGGAGGCCTCTAGTGAGGCCCGAGCCCCTCCCTGCCAGTCTGTTTGGTAACAGAACAGGGAGTGCCAGCCCTGGTCCTGAGTGGCAGGGGGCCAGGCCTGGCCCTGGCCACCCCAGATGGTCAGACAGATGGACAGCACCCTCCAGCTGCAGGGCAGGGGCTCACCTGATTCTTGGAGCAGTCGGAGGATGCGATTCTCAGAGAAGGACACCATCTCATAGAAAGCCTGCCCAGAGGTGCCAGGACTGGAGAAGCCCCCAAAGTGGACACTCTTGCAGTAAATGACCATGTCGGAAAGCTCCTGCACTAGCCTCAGCTTGTCCTCCTGGGGGCCATGGGGAGGCCCGGGTTAGAGTCAGAGGTTGGGTCAGGTTGGGCACTGAGAGAGCCAGAAGCCCAGACAGAGAGACAGAGAGGCAGACAGAGAGAGGGGGCAGAGAGTCTGAGTGGCAGCCACAGAGAACTGAGACAAGGCGAACATCCGCGGGGACACGGGGGTGGGGGCTGTGGAAGGGCCCCAGGGCTGCCCCACCCTGCAGCTCCCCCTCGAACCCTAGGCTTGTGCTGCACTCGGCTCCGCACTGCCTCATCCTCCATTTCAGCAGCCTCATCTTCGTCTGACACGACGGTGGCCTCAGGGCCGCCATCCCCTGCAGGGGGCAGGAACCCTCCCAGCTTCTTCCCTTTCAGCAGGATCTTCCCCTTCAGTTGCTGTGGATGGAGGGACAACAGGTCCAGACCCACCTGGCCTCCCAGCCAGTACCCGTCCCCTCTCCTCTGGGCATCCCCACCCCACCACGTACCTCAGGGGAGGGCAGGCTGGTGGTGACGCCGTCCAGAGGCTGGTCCAACAGCATGGGGCCCAGGATGGCCCGCAGGTGTCGCACCATGACGCGCTGCTGCTCCAGGCTGCAGTGGTTTTCCAGGGACAGGATGATGGGGTAGGGGGATGCCTGGAGGCCCAAGGGCAAGTGAGACGGGGTTGGCCACCCTTATCATCCCCTCCACAGCCCCCAGGGGCACACCCACCTTGAAGGCATAGTCCCGGATGGCCCTGAGCACGTCGCAGAAGAGGATCTTGGAAGTGAATGTATAGCCGTGGTAGATGATGGGCTCCTGGTTGGGTCCATCCCAGCAGTCAAGTTCCAAGCAGCGGCAGCCTTTGCACAGTGCCCTGCCAGCAGGGGGGGCAGCTAGAACCCTCTAGGTCTTGTCCCGGGTCCCCCCAGACTCCCGCCCCTGAGGCTTCTGTGGACCGCACCGGATGTAGGCCTCGGTGCTGCTGGGCCCTGTGAGCTGGTCCTCCAGCAGGTAGGTGTTGTGCGAGGAGGACACTAGGTAGTGGCTGAGTGGCTGGCCCATGTCCTGGTAGACCCGCCTGTGCGCCAGGCTGAAGGCGCTGCCATCAGCTGACAGTAGGTACATGAGGAAGCCGTCCTTGGTCATCTGCCGCTGCGCCTTGGCTGGGGCGGAGGAGGCCACCAGTCAGAGCCCCTCCCGGCCACTTACCACTCTGGAAGGATGAGACCCATACTCCCCCTGCCTGCCTGTCCTGGGCTGGTAAGTCTGAGCCTCCTGACCAGACTGGTTACCCCAGAGTGGGGCCCAGTCTCCGCCTCCTCCCCTGTCCCACACTCTGAGGCCAATGAGGGAAGGGACTTGTCTCCTCCCTCTCTGTCCCCAGACTGGAGCCCCTTCCAGAGCAGGGCCCCATCTTTTCTGCTGTATCATGTCTCAAAACTGGGCCCAGAATTGTCAAAAGAAGGGAGTAAGAACAGTGTGTGCTTTTCCAGACACCCCTCTCTCTATTTCTTGGGGAAGGTGTCTTCAAAACCCCCTGAAGGAGAAACCAAGAGGGAAAGTGAAGCCCAGAGAGGGGCCATGATGCTGGAGCCCCACCTCCTGTCTGTCTGCTTTCATGGACAGGCAAGCACTGGCCAGGGGTCCTGGGGCTGGCCAAGGCACCCCCTTCCCTCAGCTCCCTTCCCTGTGGCTGCAGTCTCCTCAGGGGTCTCCCAGTCCAGGGTGGCCCTGGGACTGCAGGTCACAGGCCCTGGCCAGGCCCTCACCAGTCTCACTGGGCTCGTAGCGCTCAATGAGGGAGAGAGCCAGCGCAGGCCCTGCGGCCTCCTCCCTCTGCTGGCACTTCAGGAACGTCACTAACTGATCCACCGACAGGGTCTCCCCAGAGCCCGCAGCCTCGGCAAAGGTGCGGTCGATCTCTTCCCGCTGGGTCAGCATCTTGTAGAAGGCCTCAATCTCCTCGTCCTCCAGGGAGTCTGTCTGGGAGCGGTCACATTCCTGCAAAGCCAGGAAGCCGGGTGGGCAAGGTTCAGAGCAGGCCTCGGGCCAGGGTGAAGGACCCCACTGCCATGCAGACCCAGCCCCACTTGGGCCCTACTCTGAAGATCTTCCGGGCATAGCTGTCGTCCACCTGGATGTTGAGCTCCTTCAGGAAGTTCTGCAGCTCCTTGAAGCTCATCTTGTTGTCCTTGTTTTTATCAGCTTTTCTTAAGCAGGAGTGAATCCAGCTGAGCAAGAAGTAAGGAAAGAACCCAGGATCCCTGGTTCCCAGCCAGAGCCATGGTTTAAGCTGAAGCCACCTGTAGACACTGATCTTGCAGACCTGACTTACTACACAGCCACATTTCAGGGACAAGACCCAGTGGCATCCTTGCAGGAAAATGTGACATCCTGTTAAAGGGTCTTTTTCTATTTGCTGGCTCTGAAACCTTTCAAATTTTGGAAAGTATCATCTCTTTTCTTACTATAAAAGGGTTGACTGCAGACAATTTAGAAAATGCAGAAGAACATAAACCTCCCATAGTCCTATTGTCCAGGGATAGCTTCTGTCAACACTTCAATGTCCTTCTGGTTTTCACTGTATAATTGTTAGCCAACCTGACCAAAGCACTTGAGGCTTATTTTATAGGTAACTGCAAATCTCAAGCCACTGATGAGAGGTGGAGACATCACATGCAAAAACAAAGCCTGGATCCAGTTATCATGATTGGAGCACTTCGGTCCTCACTGCTCCCTCACCTCTGTCCTCTATCCCTTCGGGCTTGATCTTGAGGACCTAGCGAAGGGGAGCTCCACAGTACACTGTACAGAACTAGAGAATTAGTAGAGAACAAAGAAAATAAAACCTCAAGAAAACAGTAAAAAAAAAACCAACTCAAAAACAAAACCAGATTTTTAGAAGAAATCACAAAGGAAACAACAACATAATGGATGCTATTCTAAACTTTTAAAAAATCTAAGGATCGAATAAAGAAAAAATAAAACCATCTATTAGACAGGCTGAGTGAAACATGTGTAGCAAAGGCTTAGAAGAATTAATTTAAAAAAACATGATGACCCTAATCACTAAATAAGAATACAAACTGACCATTTGCAAACATTACCAGTATTCCAAGATATTAAAATTTTTAAAATGAGATGCAACTTCTTAAACTATAAAATTATCAATTTAAAAGTATGATTCCCAGTGTGAGCAAAGGTGAAATGAAATGGACACTCATTCACTACCTGCGCGAGGTAAACTGGTACAACCTTTAGGAACGTCATCTAGGGATAGCTAAAGCTTTAAACTGTTAATATCATTTGACTCAGAAATTCCACTTCTAGGAACCTATTTGTAAAGAAATATTCCTAAATACCAAAAGGCTTTATGAACATATTCCTTTGCAGTATTATTTATAGTAGTGAAAGACTAAAAATAAAGTAAATGTTGAGCACTAAAGGAATGGGTCACTAATTTACAGTTTATCCACTCAATGGAGTCTTATATAGTCACTAAAACTGTTTCTGGAGACTACACTAACACAGGGAAATAATTATGATACAATGTTACACAGACAATGGATTACAAATTATGATCTCCACTATTTTTGGCAAATGCATCATTAGGCAAATTAAAATGCAGATAAATAAAGATCAGGAGGAGAGCACAAACATCAGCAGTTTCTGGAGGAGGTGAATCTTGTGTGCCTTTAAAACTTTATTCTAACATATCCATATTTTCCAAATTCTTTCTATCTATCATCTATCTATCTATCTATCTATCTATCTATCTATCTATCTAATCTATGAAAAAAATAACCATGGCAGAATGCCAGTTGAAAAAATCAAGTTCAAGATGGTCCAGCCAAGCACAAGGGTCCTGTGTTGAAGGCTATTCAGCAGGTGGGATGGCTTTATGATCTCAAGGTCTTGGCTAGGAGATGCTGCAAAGGCAGAAGATTGCCCAAGGACAAGGCTATGCAAAAGGAGTGACTGTGATGAAAGTGCCCCGGAACTGGGCTTTTAAGGAAGCTCAAAATCAGCCAGACGTGGCCTTGAGAAATAACACTTCAAAGTATTTCAAATTCTCCAAAGCATATAGAAAAGGAAACTAAACAGGGCTTGAAATGTGTCCTCCAATGGAGCTGTAGATACACTAGCAGTGAACAATTTGAAAGTGAAATTAAGAAAGCAATTTCATTTACAATATCATCGAAATAAATAAAATGCTCTCTTGGATGAACTTAGAGAAAATTACGTTAAGTAAAATAAGCCAGACACAGAAAGAGAAATATCACATGTCCTCACTCATAAGTGGGAGCTAAAAAAATTAACGAATAAATAAAAAAATGAAGAAGGAAAGATACCACAATCACAATAATTCACTGAACTTCCAAAAGGAGAGAACAGAACTGAGGCCACCAGTGGTGGGAAAGGGGAAGTGGGAGGAGGGGTTAGTGAGAATTGGAAAAGGGCCACAAAAAATGACTACATTGTGTAATGTTGACTATACTAATTTTCCTGATTTGAGCATCACATATTGCACACGGGTATTGATATTCAACACTGTACCCCACAGATATGTACAATCAACTATGTTTCAATAAAAATAAAGGGATATGAATCAACATTAAAAGATAAAAATAAATAAAAATATCAAAGGGAGTGTAGAGAGAGGTAGGAATTTGGATGATGGACACTGAAGATAAAAGAAACATGTACTAAATAAAAGGAAGTTTCTCAAAGAAGCACATCTGATTCCAAAACAGAAAGAGAAGGCAAAAATTATGCGCAAACCACAGTTTATAGATTCAGAAAAGCACCACTGAAATATATACAAAAGACCCGTTGTCTACACAGATGTACATCTTTTGATTCCTACTTGCAATAGACTGAATGTTTGTGTCCCCCACCCAAATTTATATGCTGAATTAGTGCCCCTATAAAAGAAACCCCAGAGAGCTCCCTTGTTCTTTCTGTCATGTGAGGACAGCCAACTGTGAACCAGGAAGTGGACCCCCACCAGACAATGAATCTGCTGGTACCCTGACCTTGGACATCCTGGCCTCCAGAAATGTGAGAAATAAATTTCTGTTGTTTCTAAAAATAAATAAATAAATAAATAAAATGCTCTGGGATAAATTTTCACAGTGAAAAACTCATATGCTGAAATCCACAAAATGTGCTGAAAGAAATGAAAAAAGATATAAATAAATGGAAAGACATGTCATGTTTATGGATCAGAAGAGTTGACATTATTATACTGGGAATACTCTCCAAATTGATCTACAGATTCAACACAATCCCTATCAAGATATTGCTGGCTTCCTTGCAAAAATTGACAAACAGGCTAAAACTCATATGGAAATTCAAGGGACCCAGAACAGCCAGAGGAATTTTGCTCCCCTGAAAAAAAAAAAAATTGGAGGACTCACACTTCCAGATTTCAAAACTTACCATAAAGTTATAGTAACAAAAACATTGTGGTACAGGTGCAAGAACAGACATGTAGACAAATGGAATAGAACTGAGAGTCTATAACAAACCCTCATATTTACAGTCAATTGATTTTTCACAAGGGTATCAAGAAAATTCAATGGGGAAAGAATAGTCTTTACAACAAATGGTGCTGCAACAACTATATAGCTACATGCAAAAAAAAATAAAAATAAAAAATAAAATGGAATCCTTTACCTCATGCCATAAACAAAAACTACCTAAGAATGAATCAGAGACTTAAATGTAAGAGCTAAAACTACAAAACTCTAGAGGAAAACACAATAGTAAGTGTTTATGACTTTGGATTAGGCAAAGCCTTCTTAGATATGACACCAAAAAGCACAACAAATGAAAAAGGTAGATGAATTAGATTTCATCAAAACTAAAAACTTTTGTGCTTCAAAAAATACCATTGAGAAAGAGAAAAGACAGTCCACAGAATGGGAGAAATTATTTGCAAAGCATATATCTCATATCTTGTATCCAGAATATACAGGGGGTCTTCAAAAAGTTCATGAAAAGATCCATATTATCTTTTAATTCCCTTTTTCTACAAACTTTCTGAAGTACTGTCATATGAAGAGCTCTTACAACTCAATAATAAAAAGACAAATAACCCAAATAGGTAAAGGATCTGAATAGATATTTCTCCAAAGATATACAAATGGCCAATACACACACATAAAGATGCTCAACATCATTAACCATCAAGGAAATGCAAATCAAACTCACAATGAGATACCACTTCACACCCACGAGGGTGTCTATAATCAAAAAGACAGGAAATAACAAGTGTTGTTGAGGATGTGAAAAACTGAAACGCTTATATACTGCTGGTGGGAATATAAATTAGTTCAGCCTATTTGGAGACCATTTGGCAGTTCCTCAAAAGGTAAAACATAGAGTTCCCACATAACCCAGCAATTCTACTCTTAGGTATTACCCAAGAGAAATGAAAACACATCCACACAAAAACTGATACATGAATGTTCATAGCAGCATTATCCATAGACCCCAAAAGTGGTAACAACCCAAATGTCCATCAGCTAGTGAATGGATAAATAAAATGTAGTATATCCCTACAATGGGACATTATTAGGCAGTTAGAAGGAATGATACACTCTACAACATGGATTAATGTTGAAAACGTTATGCTAAGTGAGGACATGGGTTTGGACCTTTGTACTGGCTAGCTGCCAAAACAAAACAAAAACAAACACACAAACAAAAAACAAAAAAACAAAACAGAAAAAAAACCCAAAACATTATGCTAAATGAAAGAACCAGTTGCAAAAGACTGTATGATTCCATTAATATAATGTCCAGAAAAGGCAAATGTCTACAGAAAGACAGACAGTAGATTAGTGATTGTCTAGGACTGGGGCTTGGGGAAAACCAGGAGTGAGTGCTAACAGGCACAGGATTTCTTTCTGGGGTGATGAATGTTCTAAAATTGATTGTGGTCATGGTCGTACAACTCTGGGAATATACTAAAAAGCATTGAATTGGGTTCAACACTTTAAAGGGTTAATCGTATGGTATGTGAATTATATCTCAATAAAGCTGTCATAAAAAAGGAGCTGGAGCTGGTTCCACCCTAATCCATATCTGCTGGAAGCCTGATCACCTTGAATCATAGACTAGTTTGTTGTGCAACTAGATTTTGAAGGTGACTTGTTTTAAGCCCACAGGCTGTCTTGTATACTAGGTCCAGGAAACTAGATCGTTCCCCAAAAAATGGCACAGGAGGGTACCATGACCTCCCAGTTCCCAGAGGGAAAATGTGTAGTAATCTAGAAAACATGATTAAAACATCCAGGACTGGGTCTCCCACTAAAGCAGGCTGCTCCCCTCAACCTCCCCAGGCTCCCAACTCCACGCTGGTTACAGAGGTGGGCACAGGGAGTATCAGGAGCTGCAGAACTGGTCTTGAGCTGTTTGTCTGGTCTTGGGTCAGAGTAGACCATGCACCTTTCCTGCTTCCCTTGTGCTATGTACTGAATTTTGTTCCTCCCAAATTCATGCATTGTAGCTTTAACCCCCAGGGTGATGGTATTTGAAGACAGGACCTTTGGGAGTTAATTAGGTTTAGATGAGGACACGAGGGTGGGGCCCTCAAGATGGGATTAGTGCAAGAAGAGACACCAAAGAGCTTGCTCTCTCTCTCTCTCCCCACCATGTGAGGACACAGCGAGAAGGCAGCCATCAGCAAGCAAGGGAGAGGGCCCTCACTAGACTCTGACCATGATGACGCCCTGATCTCAGACTTCCAGTCTTCAGAACTGTGAGAAAATAACTTTCTGTTGTTTAAGCCACCTAGTCCATGGTATTCTATTATGGCAGCCCAAAATGACTGAGCCACCTTCGCATACCCAGGTGGCCACAGCCAGAGTCCACAGGCCAGACCTAGATCCACTGCCACCAAAAGGATACTGCTGCAGCTTCTGCCGCTGGTCCATGGTGCCCGAGTGGTGGATGATCTTGCGCAGACCCCGCACCCAGTGCTGGGTGTCCACTGGCGATGGCGTGATGAGGTCTAGTGTGTTGCGCTGGTCCTTGAAGACAATGGAGAAGCAGCGGTCCTCAGGCACATCACGGGCAAACTTCTCCAGGCCCTCTGTGCGATGTCCCATCCTCACCTCCTGAATGTCCTCGATGGAGACTGCAAGAGGGGCAGGGGAGAGGGGCAGAGGATTCTTTAAGGACAATCCCTGCTCCTGACATGGCCAAGGCCACGGTGGAGGGGAGCCCAGCCTAGAGACAGAGAGTCAGGGCTGGAGCTCAGGCCTTTAGTCCACAGAGAAAGGAGAGGAGCAGGAGGACAGAGCAGGGGGTACTAAAGGGAGGGAGGAAGACAGGGACTGAGGTGCAGACAGGGCCTGAGACGCGGACATAGTGGGCAGAGTGGAAACGCACAGGGGGAGACAGAGACAGACAGAGACAGACTTGAGGGTGGCAGGGCACCCGGGACTACAGGCCTGCTGTCACAGTGATGGGACAGAGCAGGGCCCCTGGAAGAGGACTGGGGCAGGGTAGGACTCTTAGACTGAGAGGGGGACAGACCATCCTGGAGCTTGGGGCCTGTGACAGAGCGGGGCCACACGCCCTCTGGATTGTACTGGACTTTGGGCCTATCCTCCCCTCCCACAGCCATGACAGCCTCCAGGCTCCTCTCCTGAACATTCAGGAGACTGGAGCCACCCCATGTAAGCTCTGGCCCTGGGGTCTGGAACAGAGCGCCAAAGACAGAGGGAGAAGTGCTTGTGTCAGAGGGTAGACAGGGCCTTGCCCTGTGTGTATCTGCACGTGTCCTGACTTCAGGGAGCCCCTTGGCAGGGTGGGTGCGGGAAGGCTCTGCCCTCCAGGGTCCCAAGAGGCAGACTGGAGGATGCCCCTCAGGGGTCTTAGAGATTACATCATTCTGCCCTTAGGAGCCAGGGGAAGGGCCCTCCCATCACAGCCCAGCCTTCTAAGCTTCAGGGAGATGCAAGACCCTGCCTACCCTCATCCTAATGTGCCCTCCGTGGCTTGGCTGGGAGCCAGTCCCACCAGCCGGGTTCATACTGCGCCTCCCGGCAGCAGCACCCAGGATCTGCCCCTGCTCCACCCCCGGCCTCAACCATCCTCATCCACCTGTCCTGGTCTTAGACTGACTCTGGCTTAAAGTTTGCCTGTCCTTCCCTGTGCCCACCCATCGTGAGTGCCCAGGGGCCTCCTAGCCACCTGCAGTCCCCACCTGTGTGGCATATGTCCACTGCAGCCTCTGAGGAGTGGGACACATGGGCCCTGGGCCATTTGGGGTGCAGAGGATATCCCTGCTTAATCCCTCTGCCCACAGCTTCCTGTGCCCCAATAGGCTTCACACTGGGTACAGCTGCAACTGCCCCAGGCCGGGAATGAAAACAGGAAGCCTGAGCCATGGGACCCCCCGAAAGCCAGTGCCCCACCCGCACCAGAGACAAAGTCCAGATGCCTTCACTGCTGATAATACCTTGTGCAACCCTGGGAATGCTCATGGGGGTGGGCAGTGGTGGCAGGACTGGGAGAGACTCCGGGAACAGCAAGCAGAGCCAAAGAGAATGGGGGAGGGTTTGCTCCACTTCTCCCTCACCTGGCCTCAGTTTCCTCGAGGGTAAAGCGCAGTTGAGAACAATAGTCTCACTGCCCACCAGAGAAGGGAAGCAGCCAGCCGGCATGCTCAACACAAGACCTGTTTCAGGTGGCTCTGCCCTGGAAGAAAGCTTCTCAGGCTATGCTCCTTATCTGAGCATACTTGACTCCCTGAGCCTGTCACCCCTGCAGCCCCTCTGCTCAGGGTGCAGCTCCCCAGCCTGCCACTCAGGCCCCTTCCTCATTCTCACCTCTGCACCTTGGTCACACTGCGTCTCCTGCCTGGAATGCTCTTCCTGCCCTTTTGCTCACAGCTGTCCCAGTAGGAGGTTCTCATCTCCATAGCCCATAGGGAGGTCCTGCTGGAAAAGCCTGGGGCTCCTACTCCTCTCTCTGTCCCTTGCCCAACCCCCATCAAGTGCTAGGCATACCCTGGAGAGCCATGCATAGATATTGGCAGGGGGGTTGGCCCCAAGGAATCCCAGGGCTCCTAGAGGGAGAGCCCCATTCCCACTGTACTCCCACCCCCCCGGCATCTAACAGGAAACCCTGTATCAGGGCAGGAGCCCTATGAAGGAGCATGTCTGGCGCCACAGACAGGCAGACAGGCAAGGTCAGGCTTTACTCCCACACTGTGTGGCAGCAGGCCGGGCTGGGGCAGACACTAGCTCAGGGTGGTTTCCTGAGAATGTTTCAGAGTCCCCATCCACTCACACCCTGCTCAGAAACCCTCCACAGCTCACGGCCACGAGGACCCAGCCAGGCTCCACCTCTGGCCCTGCTCCTGTCCTGCCATACCTTCTCAGGTTTCTGTCCAGTGTCCTGAGGTTCGGCAGGCCCTCCCTGGGTTAAAGGCACCCCATTGGGGCACCCTCAGGGGGCTGATCCTCCCCTTCCTTATGCCCTCCTTCTACCCAGGGATGTCACCGTATCTGGTCTCAATCCCCACAGACCTGCCAATGGGCTGACCCTACCTCCCCACCCTTCCCCCAGCCAAGGGCAGGTGAATGGGTGAGAGATTTCCAGCAGTCTGGGCTGCGTGAAACCCAGGTTGCAAAATGATCTATCTGCACTGTCCAATATAGTAACCACCAGCCACCTGTGGCTATTTCAATATAAATTAGTTAAAATTAAATAAAATAAAAAATTCAATTTCTTAGTCACACTAGCCACGTTTCAAGGACTCAATAGCCACAGGTGACTGGTGGCTCCCCTATTGGACAGCACAGATATAGAACATTTCCATCATTGCAGAAAGTTCTGTTGGCCTAAAATTTTCCCACCAAGTAAAGGTTCTGGAGGGGAACATCTCATTTTACAGAATCTCTAGGGAATTCTTGCATTAAAGGGCAGAAGTCAGCAGAGCTTTTTCTCTAAGGCCTTGCAGGAGGCACTCTCCATTTACTGCCTGAGCCGTGGCTACCTGGGCCTTTTTGGAAGCTTCCAGAAAGCCCTCAAAACCACATTCTCGAGAGAGCTCCCCAGCCAGGGCCTCTCTCTGTGTGGCCCAGCCCTGCTCTGTCCCAGTATCCCTCCTATGGCTCCAGTCCCAGGCAAGAGCTGCCTCCTGTGCCCCACATCACACCCTGGCCACTGATACCCCGAAGTGCCTTATCTGCCTTCAGACTTTGGGCCTGGCTTTTGTCCTCACCACACCTGGAGTCCTAATCCGCCCAATTTCCTTCCTTCCCACCAATTGCCTGGGAGGATACCTGTGAGTAACAGGCGACACTGTCCAGCTCCCTTCCTTCTTCTGAGCCTGGCTGTCGCCATCTGTGGTCATGGTTACGTAGCCCATCCCAAAAAGTCTTTAGCATCTCCACCTGTGGTCTCCTTTCCTTGACTGCTCTGCCCAACCCAGACTAGGCCTCAATTTCTCTATAGGTGATCTAACTGGCTCCTCTCTCTGACCCCAGTCAGCCCCTTTCCTCATTTCTAGCCAGGCCTCGGTTTCCCCACCTGTGTTTTTTGTCCATGATTGACCTCCACTCCCACCCCATCCTGGCCAGGTTCTACACTCTGTCACCTCCCCCATGGCCCCAGGGCACTCACACAGCTGGGACTCGGGGGTCCGCATAACCTTGCGGGACTCCTGCCAGATGGTCTTGCAGTCTTCCTGCAACTTATAGAAGCGCTCTCTCCGCCACGAGCTGGACTTCACCTTCAGGAGCTGGCTGCCCTTCAGCAGGGCCTGTAGGTCCTCATCATTCTGCAGGCCTGGGGAGTCAAAGCTGGTAAGAAGCCACCTCTTCCCCCAGTGTCCCTGCTGCCCTGGGCCCCATGGTGACCATGCCTACCTCTAGATCCTCCCAGAGCCCACTTTTCTCCAGCCTCACCCTCAGCTCTCTGTTTACTTCTTCCTCCTCTGCCCACACTCCAATCTGCTCCCAGAGCCCTGACTCCTCCAGGAAGTCATTTCTGATTGCTACTTGAGGTGGCCAAGCAAACCTTAGGACACTTTCCCACCCCAAACCACTGTGACCTGCCACTCATGGCTGAGTGGATAAAGGAAGGGCAGCTAATTCAAGAACCCCTGGTTCCTGGGGGACCAGGCCCCTAGAAAATGGCCTGGCTCTGAAAGATGAGATAACACTTAGAGGTTAGAGTGAACTGAAGAAAGCTGGGACCAAAAGATCAGCAATGCAGGAAAAAAAGGGGGGGGGTGCAGGCAGATGAAAATGGACCCCAGAGCATCATGGAGCCAAATAATTTCCCAGTTTCAATGGCTCCCAAATCATTTGTGCCTCGGTACCCTTCCTGACCAGCTGTGTGACTTGGGCAAGTGACTTCACGTTGCTGGGTCTCTGCTTTCCTGTCTATAAAATGTAGATAATAACAGCACCCACCTCAAAGAGAAGTTCTAAGTTTAAATGAGATGATGTATGGATCTGTGCAGGTCCTGAAGTAATGGCAGTTGCAGTTCTTGGTGTCAACACTGTGGTTGCTGTGGGACCCTTGTGACCATCCCTGTGGGACACTTGTGCCCATCCCTGTCACCCTCACCCTGCTGCCTCCACTCCCTACTTGAGCCCGCTTGAGTGGATCTCCAATCCTTGTCCCCAGAAGAGACAAGCGCATCTTGTGTGTGGCCTGCTGGGACACCCCTGTCCCTCCCTACCCCACTCTGAGTACACTGGGGCTGAGACCCCTCAGGGTACAGCAGCTTTAAGACACAGTACGGCCCTTTCACAAGCAGAGGTAGGGCCTGGCCCAGAGTCCACAAGGAGAACCCGAACCCTGGCTGCTCACCCACCACCTGCACAGCTCTTTTGCTGCTTTCAGAGACCCAGGCTGACCTAAGGCATGGGCTCCCAAAGATGTGATGCCCTGCATCCTACCAGGCTCAGACAAGAGCCAAGCCTGGCTCTCAGGAACCCTCACCCCTAACAGATCCTGTACTGACTGTGACCAAGGAGACCCCTACCCCTGTAGTGACCCATCCACGTAATATAGAGATAGATACATCATAAGGGGGTATATGTGTATCACCCTGTACGTATATGGTCCAGTAGCCAGCTCTATTTACACCTAACTGGCTACATCACTTCTGTCCCCAAAACTATGTGGCCTATCAGCAATCTTTGCCCTGCTACCCCAGCAGAGTGGTAACATCAGGGACCCCAAAGGTCCAGCCTAAGGGGACTGTGTCTAGGCCTATGTGTGGGAGCCCTCACAAGCCATAGGCATTCTCTTTTCTGAGCCCAGATTCCAAACCCCTGACCTCCTCTTCTGCTTTAACCATGCCTCTGCCCCCAGCCAGCTTGTCCCACCTATCTAGAGAGCCTACAGAACCTCTGGACCACTTCCCTAGGCCTCACCCACTCACACACTCTCTATCCCTCCCCAGTCCTACTTCCAGTGGGGACAGGGCCCAGTGCTAACATCCACCCCCTATGGCTTTAGGCAACTCCCTCCCTTCTCTGTCTCTCCGTTCTAGGGTGAGAACAGTGTTGAAGGAGACAAACCTGGGCCTCCTCAGAGGTGACAGTCTGATGTTATCTCCCCCTACCTTTGTCCCAGGTACGTCCACCCATTTCTAAGAGACACTCTGCCTTAGCGTGAGCAGTTCCCTTTCAGCCCAAGGGGAAGCCAAGTGGAGGAGAAGGGGGCTCCTACAGAATGACCTGAACTGTTGGCTGTGGCTGAGGGTCAGCACAAGCGGAAGGGCAAAGGAGTCCCCAGGCACAGAGAAGGCCACCTCTGGTCTCCGCTGGGGTATTCCACTGTCCTTTCTCAGGCTGAGGTGCAACTGGGAGGGACATCTCTTTACTCTCTGCCAGCACCCCACTCCCAAGCTAGGCACACATCAGGGCAAGCCGCTGCCCACAGCACACATGGGAACGGGGGGGAGGGTCGGGAAGTAGAAGGTGAGCCCCACCCTCGAGTTCTGGAAAACACCATGAAGAGATGACATGTTTATCCTGTCCTGGAGCCAGGCTGCTGCCCTTTCTGCAGTCGAGCAGAGATAAGCCACCAGCTGCCGACATGGCTTCCGGGAGGCAGATCTCAGTCCCAAAGTGGGCCTTGATAATTCCAGAAAGGTGATAGTCACTCTCTCTGGGCTACTGGGAAACCTGGGCAGCAGCCTCCATCTCTTGGCTTCAGTTGGGGCCCGGCTTCAGTTGGGGCCCTTTTGTTTCTGAGGCCTCTGGGCTTCCTGCTTCTCCACCCTTGCTCCCTTAGCACCCAGAAAGCCTGTGGGCACCCCTCAGCCAGCACCACTCACTCAGCTGTAGTGCCTTATCCTCCCATGGGAGGGTGGAGGTGAGGGGCCCCTGGGTTGACCCTGCAGCCTCACCAACCCACCCAGGCTAGCTGCACACAGTGAGATAGACATGTGGAGGACATAGGGGTGCTGCAGGTGCCAGGGAGAAGCTGAGGGGGGTGCCAGGGGTCCTGCCTGTGTATCTAGGCTAATACATAATGGAGACACACCAGGCCTGGGACACAAAGCGACACACAGCTACCCAGAGATATAGTCGCATAGACACAGTCAAACACCACACCACCACACTCAATCACATACTGCCACACACAGTGACACACTGCCTCCCAAAATTACACTGTCACATGGAGTTGTACAGTGTCACACTTAGTCACACACAGACACACCACATACAGTGCCAGATCATCATAATGATGATAATAATAGTAGCCACAATAATAATAGTTAATAGTTGAATAAGACACCATTCTTAGCACATGTATTCAATCCCCTCAACAACCCTATGAGGAAGGCACTATCATTATTCCCATTTTATAGATGAGGATTTTAAGGCTCAAGGAGGTTGCTTGGTGGAGTCAGGACTCAGAAGCAGGCAGTCTGCCCGCAGGGTCGGTGCTATGAAACTTCACCTTCTGCAGCCACCACTCAGGGACACACTGTCACAAAATAACACCACCAGAAAATCTACATAACACACACACCACAACGCAGAATGACAGAAACACTCAGTCACCCTAGGTCACCCACTGTCACATCTGTCACACA